AATGGTTTCACTCTATGTGAATGTGAGTGCTCCCAAGGGAATCTCCAACTAGAGGTCATCATTAGGCCCGTGAGCCCATGGGCTGAAGGATTCCCGTAAGGTCCATCGAGAAAAAGTCCGACTTGGTCCGTTATGGGCCATGGGCCACCCTGTTGTTGAGTGGGCTAGGCTTGGGATTGGGTGTCTAAAGCCCGGCCTGTTTGGGCCCAAGAAAGCCCGCCCATAAAAGCCCAGCCCACGGGCTCACATACATATAAATAAATATATTTTAAAAAAACCCAAGTTAAATGAAACATGGAGAAAATCATTATCTATTATCATTGTAAGAACTATAAAAAAAAATATGAAGTATGGGATAAAATATAATTTTATTAATATGGGGTTGTATAACTATATCTTTATATTTATGGGAAAAAAAAGAGAACTATAAAGTTATGAACAAAGAAAAAAATGGAGACATAAACATATAGACAAATGTAAATAGGGATCTATGAAAAAAAGAGGAAACATACAAACACACCAAAACATAGAAAAAAAATAAAGAATTGACAAAAAAAATTACATATTAAAAAAATACAAAATAAAGTAGGCCCACTTAGGCCCGACCTGTTGGGCTTAACCCAGGCTGGCCAGATGGGCTTTTTCAAGCTCAGCCTATGGGCTAGGCTTGAGCTTTGAATTTTCAAAAAAAAACTCCGCCCGACCCGGCCCGTTATTTTTTCTCTCCTATCTAAAGCTTGCCCCCCCTGCGCCGGCCCAAGCCTATTAAGGCCCATTAACGAGGCCTATCTCCAACTCAATAGGGCTTAATTAAATAATATTATTTTGCTATTCTCGGTCAATAGCGTCATGACATGCATGATAACACTTTCATATAGCATATCATTATTATTCGAAAATAGCAAAACAGTGTTATCCTCGTTGCAACCAAATTTTTCTCAAATCTATTGACAGAGTATCATAACTAGTATTTTTGCTCGAATCTTACAATCCTAAAGAACCCTAGCTGTATTAAAATGTCTAAAAAGTGTTTTAATTTTTTTTTCCTGGTTAACGTTTTTTTGAGTTACTTTTAGGATTTGTGTAATTGTAATTTACTTTTATGACCATTTTAACTTCAAAATTATAAAATTTTGGAAAAACAATTTTGTTTCATAAAGAAGCGTAAAACAACAAAGTACATAGTGTTAAATTTTAGAGAGACGGGCATGTGGCCCACCACAAGCAATATCGATATTGTCCCAAGAGGTGTGAGGTTTTATTACAAAAGGTTTCGATGTTATTAGGAGTGGAACCACTTATTATAAGTTGTAGTTTATTTCGTCAAGTTTTTAATGTAAGACTTTAAATTCTTCAACATGTTCCCTCACGTGGGACCACCACATAGTGGGCCACACATGGAGCCAAATCCACATCGAAGTTAATCATCTAGGTATGTGCAGTGGAAGATTCATAGGTTATAGTATGAGTCGAAGTCGGTTGGATCGATGACAACACCCAGTCAAGGTGTGGCTAGTCGGTCGAGTCGGTGGCCACACCCAATCAAGGTGTGGCAGATCTAGGTTGGAGTCTGGGTCTGGATCGGGATTCTGGTTTGATACCATGTTAAATTTCAGAGGTACTGGCCATCACTAGCAACACCAATATTGTCCTCAACTTAACCATATACAAAACCCAATAGGTATGAGATTTCATCACAAAAGGCATTGGTGTTAGTAAGAGTGGAACCACTTATTATAAGTTATAGTTTATTTAGTTAAGTTTCCAATGTGGGACTGTATATTCTTCAACAAATATGAATAGGTAATGAAGGACACAAAGATATCACATGCATATTTTAATTTTGTAAATTATGAATTTAGGTACAAAGGTATATACCAGATTTTTTTTTAGAGAGTAGGTTATGAGATTTTAGGGGCTCTAAGCAACATCGAAAAAATGGGCCCCCATACATATAATTCAACAAAAATTTGAATTTATTTTATTGTTTTGTCTAGTGGATAAATATAGGAAATGTCCTTGGACTATACCCCATTTTGCATTTTCGTTCTTAAGAAATTTCAATAATAGTTGATGACGTTCTCCAATTAGGTTGTGTGTTGCACCACTGAAATTCTTCATTAAACATATGAGTTGGGCTTGAAATCTAGCACAAGGATAATGAAGATATCAAACCAAACAACCAATGGTGAATGCATTCAAAATTCAAAGTACTGTGAAAGAAAGAAGCCACAGTGGTGGAGAGGCCACATTGGAAAGTTGACTGTTGGGCTGGTCGGAGCCTAAACCCAATATGTATTATTATTAGGGAGCTTCACTAATGTACCCAAAATAGGAGTTGAAATTATAAAAAAAAAAGCCCACAGGGAATGCACTTTAGAAACACATCCAAAACTCATTTACTACATAAGAAATTAGTGTTTAAGTTCTTATAAATTACATGATTGCCATTGATCAATTTAAAAAAGAAGACCAACAAAAAAAAACTTAAATAGCACCTAAAACAAGCCCAGCCCAATTTTATAAAAAAACCCAAACAATTCATTACAAACAAAAGGTCTTGAAAACTGTAGTTTCATTAACGTGTCATGTTAATTAATGATTGTAATGTTCTACACCTTTATTATCATGTTGATTAATTGTTGTAATGTTCCAGTTTAGGGTAATAACACTGCTCTGTCATGTTGACTAATGGCTGTAATGTTCCAGTGTAGGGTAATAATACTGCTAGTTTCCTATAACATCCTATTTCTAATGCATGTTTACCCCTATAATATTCCAGTGTAAGGTAATAACACTGCGAGTTTCCAATGATATCCTATTTCTACTGCATGTTGACCTATGTAATGTTCCAATATAGGGTAATAACATTGCTAGTTTACTGTCATGTTGATTAATGGTTGTAATGTACCAATCTAGGGTAATAACACTGCTAGTTTATTGTCATGTTGATTAATGGTTATAATGTTCCAGTGTAGGGTAATAACATTTCTAGTTTCCTATGATATCCTATTTCTAATGCATGTCTACCCATGTAATGTTCCAGTGTAGGGTAATAACACTGCTAGTTTCCTATGATATCGTATTTTTAATGCATGTCTACCCATGTAATGTTCCAGTGTAGGGTAATAACACTGCTAGTTTCCTATGATATTCTATTTCTAATGCATATCTACTCATGTAATGTTCTAGTATAGGGTAATAACACTGTTATTTCCTATGACATCCTATTTCTAATGCATGTTTACCCCTCTAATGTTCCAGTCTAGGGTAACAACACTGCTAGTTTACTGTCATGCTGATTAATGTTTGTCATGTTGCTATTTCTAATACATGTCCACCAAAGAAAAGATGAAGAAAGAACAAACCAGACCAACTCAAAACAAGCTGAGTCCAGATTGTTAATAATATTATGTCATAGAAGTATATTGTTAATACTTTGTCATAGAAGTACATTGTTAATACTCTGTCACAGAAGTACATTATTAAACAAAAATTAGATTCATAATTGAAATAGTAACAAAAGTTGAATCGATCATCTAAGCTTAACATACATTTCGGAAATCAACTAAAATCTGAAGAGAAACACATAATTAAAGCAAAAGATCAAAAATGTCAAGTCCAAACCAAACGACGACCACGATAACAACAACGACGATGTGGTGAAAGAGGAGTAGAGCTTGAAGATGAGGAGTAGAGCTAAGAGCATCTGATCGAGATTTGTTTGAGGTCTTGAACAATCCGAAAAAAGAAAAAATCAATAGAAGCACGATTTTAGAACAAGAAATCGAAGGTGAAATATTGAAAAATGTATATTAAAGATGAAGAATATAGTTGGACATGAGACTGAGCTTCAATGGAAGCTCCTTTTGCTCCAACACCAGAGAAAACACCAGCGAGAAAGGAGAAAATAAATTTGATTTGGTTTTTTGGCAGATTTGATTTTTTTGGCAGATCTGGTTTTTTGGCAGATCTGGAAATGTTTGGTTTTATGGCAGATTTGGGCAGATCTGATTTTCCTCTCTTAAATCCATAGTACAAGGACAATATAGGTATTTAACACACACAAATAAACTAAAAAACAACTATTAAATTAAAAAAACTGATAGCTGTCAAATTTTGGGTTTTTTTTGTGTGTGTTTATAGTTTTTAAATGGTGTAGGGTTTCTTTATAAAACTATGTCTAAGATTGGGTATATAACTAAATTTCTATTATTATTATGATTTTTTTCATTTTTTTAGTCTACTTGATTTATTTTTTAAAATTATGTGAAAATTTTCCGAATTTACTCTTGAATTTAATAGAAAAGATGAAAAAGTTTTTTTTTTTTTTTTTTTGTTCTACACGAGATCTTTCAATCAAGGATTGTTTTTGGGGAGAGGGATATTTTGGAAGATATCTGTGTACTTTTTGGTGTTGAAATTCCTGAAATTGAAAGAATAACAAAAATTATCAAAGGATTGAAAAAAGAACCAAAGATATTGATGAATGATGATGATTGCTTACTAGAAAATCAGAGTTTAAGAGAAAAAAGAAGCCATTAAATTTTTTATAGTTTTTTTTTTTTTGGGTGTGGAAGAAAGTACTTTGATACTCAAACAAAAGAGATTGATATATACTATTGTTGGTTAGCATAGTTTGATGTGCAGTGGCTCCACTTACACAAAAATCGGTAGCCCTATGCAGTGGCGCCATTTGCACCACCCCTGGATTAGACGGTGATATTAGCTGGGGCAGGGCAAGGCAAGTAGGGATGGGGAGAGAAGGATGAAAAGGGAGGACGAGACCTAAAATTAAAGAAATTTAATTGCGATGATAGATTTCAAAAGGAAATCAGCACACAAACAATAAACTTGAATTGGTAGATATTTTGACACTATGATCATTATGTAGAGTACATAGATAAACCTTAATTAAAGGCAGGCTTATGATTGAGAGTTCATTAGACAACTCAACCAAATGACCTTTTTATTGACATACAAAGATAGTAGTACTCTAAGGACTAAATGTTACTGAATTCTTTGTTTCAGTCTCAGTAGTTCAAGGTCCTGGTTTTTCATAGTGCCCATGGTCTCGACCATATCCTTTCCCTCCTCGACTGTAGGGTTCTTGCTCATGTCCGTGACCACCTTTTCCTCCACGGTTGTATCCACCGCGTCCATTGGTACCTTGCCCTCCACGATTGTAGCCACCACGTCCATTGGCTTTATTCATAAAGAAAGAATTGCCAAAAAAAAAATAAATTTTTTTTTAAAAAAAAAGGTCAGATGTCACTTAACGGAACCTTATTGATCAGTTTGCATTCTGTAAGGAGCAAAACATACAATATCCAAAATTACTAAACATCCACTTGTTCCTAATTATATATATAATATATTCCAGATTCGTAGTTTGGCCTAAAAAAGGATGTTCCAAGTTCATAGCATGTTAATTATTGGCATGGTCCCTTGTGCAGATTGGAATGCGCCTAATTAAATTCACAAACCGTTGGAAAACAGAGACAAATATATATGTTTAAGTTAAGAAAGAGAAAAACTCACGATTAATTTGAGTAGTAGTTTCAGCTAGCTCACGAGCTGAGGCCTCGGAGACAATGAGGATGAGAACAACACACACAAGGCCAAGAAGAAGAAAAGTCTTCGAGGATGCCATATTTTTCTTAACAACACAAGTTGCAGATAATGTGTCTTGCCTCTTCCTATTTATAGACCCTTTAAAAGAAGAAGAAGAAAAGTCTTCGAGGATAACATATCAATTGAACACACTATGTGTCTAATTATCAAAATGTCCTCGTGATTGGATTAAAATAGATGGTAAATTTGAAATTTTGAAAATTATGTGAGGATATAATGGGTACAAAAGATGAATTCCTAATGGGTTAGTTCTCCGGGAATTAGAATACCACATCCCACTCAAGAATTGAATCCTTCCAAAATCAGGAATTCAATTCCTAATTTTGTGTGGGCCTGACTTACCTTTCAATTCCTTGATGTGAAGTAAACGCATGAATCCTCTATAGGTGAAATTCAATTCCTAATAAGAATTCCAATTCCAATTCCTAATTAATAAACACACCATTAGTGTTTTATTTATTAATTATTGAATATCGTTTTGTTTGTTTACTTTTATATACTATTATTGTATTTATTTCATTATTATAATTAAATAATAGTGAAACTGATTGTTGTCGAGCCAACAATATTGACGCTTGCAGGTCCACAGACGTTGCCGACGATTGTCGATTTTATCAATCTTGCGGGTCCACAGACGTTGACCTCAAAAAAGGACATGTAAGTCAAGCATGATAGATACAAACCCAGCCGTGGTCGAAAGGGGATTATTTATTTTAAGATATATACAAATATATACAAATGTATTCCTTTTGGATATTTTCTTTGCATCAAACGAGAGATACACATATACTACACAACATGGCATAGAGTATCATAACTAGTATTTTTGCTCGAATTCTACTATCCTAAAGAACCCTAGCTTTATTAACTGTCTAAAAGGTGTTTTAACTTATTTTTTTTCTTTCTCTGGTTAACGTTTTTTTTTTGAGTTAATTTCAGGATTTATGTAATTGTAATTTACTTTTATAAAAATTTTAACTTAAAAATTATAAAATTTTGGAAAAACAATTTTGTTTCATAAAGAAGCGTAAAACAATAAACTACAAGTGGGTAGGGTCGGTGGCCACCCCAATCAAGGTGTGGCAGTCTGGGTCTGGATCGGGGTTCTACTTTGATAGCACGTTAAATTTCAGAGAGACGGGGATGTGGCCCACAACTAGCAACACTGATATTGTCATCAACTTAACCACCTACAAAACCCAATAGGTATGAGGTTTTATCATAAAAGGACTCGGTGTTAGTAAAAGTGGAACCACTTATTATAAATTGCAATTTATTTACTTAAGTTTGTGGGATTGTATATTCTTCAACAAATATGAATGGGTAGTGAAGGACACAAAGATATCACATGCATATTTTTAATTTTGTAAATTATCAATTTAAGTATAAAGGTATGTATATACCAGATTTTTGAGAGAGTCGGTTATGAGGTTTTAGGGGCTCTGAGCAACATTGAAAAAATGGGCCCTCCATGCATATAATTCAACAAATTTTTTTTAATTATTTTGTTGATTTGTGTAGTGGATAAATATACCAATAATATGTCTCAGTATGAAAATAAGGTTAACTATAGGAAATGTCCTTGGACTATACCCCATTTTGCATTTTCGTTCCTAAGAAATTTCAATAATAGTTGATGTCGTCCTCCAATTAAGTTGTGTGTTGCACTACTGAAATTCTTCATTAAATATATGAGTTGGGCTTGAAATCTAGCACAAGGATAATAAAGGACAAGATATTCAAAGTTTCAAACCAAACAACCAATGGTTAATGCATTCAAAATTCAAGGTACTGTGAAAGAAAGAAGTCACAATGATGGGGAGGTCACATTGGAAGGTTGACTGTTGGGCTGGTGGAGCCTCAACCCAATATGTATTATTATTATGATTTTTTTCATTTTTTTAGTCTACTTTATTTATTTTTTAAAATTATGTGAAAATTTTCCTAATTTACTCTTGAATTTAATAGAAAAGACAAAAAAGTTTTTTTTTTTTGTTCTACACGAGATCTTTCAATTGAGGACTGAAATATCAATAATATCGCGGATATCATCGTTTTTGGAGAGAGGGATATTTTGAAACATATCTGTGTACTTATTGTATAAATATTGTGGTTGATTAAACCACAATTTTCAGTTTTTATGTGTGTCAGTCGTTGGCAACGTGGGACTGGATCAAATTGTTGGCGTTAGTGGTTGTGGTTGAAGTTGATTTTTGGTTGCATGGTTGTTGGTGAGTTGGGGTTGCTCGGATGGGAGCTTTGCAGGGGTGTGGGGATTAGATCAGGGCCATCTTTGAGATCTTGAGAGCCCTGTGTGAAACTTAAATTGGGGCCTCATATATTCTAATACTAAAATACTATATAAAAAATTTGTCATACCTTAATATCATAAAACAACATCAACATTTTCATCGATATCAACATTTTCGTTATGCTCAACATTATCCACGCATTCATCCATAATGTTTTCAATATCTTGCAATTCCTCAACATCATCTTCTTGTTGTTCATTGCAAATATTTTCATCAATTGTAGCATGTGATTCTGTTCACCCGTTTTGCTTTTACTCCTATGATGGAAGGGCAAAGTTCCCCACAGCCTTGAGAACCATAGACTGGTCAACAAGTCAGCTTTCTTTGGTGTGCGAGCGTGCCACTGCTAGTAATAAAAATTCTAGCAGACTTAGTTTGGAATGGATAACTTGCGTCCCAAGTTATTGATTTCTACAAATAAGCGATTGTGAATTTGGGTGAGGAATATCTCCAAAGTAAGTTCTTTTCTTGCCTCAGACTGGTGAGGACTTTAACAATTTATCTCAGTATAAGGAGGTTGTTCTGGTCAGAATGGTTGATGGGATTTAAACTGTTTTTAGGCGGAACTGCCTTTTACAAAAATATAACAATAAATGCTCATGCTAGAGAGAGATGAAGAGACAGCTGGAACTCCATTTCTGTCGAGATGGAAGGTTCTGATCCGGGCTGGACTGAAAATGCCTGTGCTGGACTGGACCGTTGACAACTTTGACTGCTAGGTTTCAACTGTAAATCGATGCCAGAGGTTGATTCTGGCAGAGCTTCAATGTACCTCAAGCTTTTGTGAAGCTTTTGAGTGGGCAGAACTGCGGTTTCCTCAGTCTACACGGGCAGAAGTGACTGTTTTTGAGGACTTCAGTGGGCTAGAGACTGCACTGTGAATTTTGTTGAGGTTTTCCATATTTGGAGAAAGCTCAAGATCTACCTGTCTTGGTTTTTTTGCTGAACCAAATTTGTAACGAGAGAAATCTCGTTTTGAATGACTTACTTCTTAAGTCTGAGCCTTGGGAATTCTGATCTGAAGCTGGTTTTACTTGAAATTCAAGTGGGCTTGTTGGTTGATTTTGAGTTGTCTATTTGACTGATGGTTTCCTTGTGTAAGATTTTTGTTTGATTGGATGTTGAATTTTTTGTTGTCCTTTGCCTTGTTCACTCCTTCTTGTATTTATAGTAAAATGTTTTTCTGAAGTAGGGTGATTCTGTTTAATATTGGGCGGCAAATCTTTTCAAAAGATATCTCCCTTTTTTTTTCTTTTTTAATGGAAATAAAGAAAATAGGATTTCATTAGTTTGGCAGATAGGCTCTCAAATAGGCAATCACTTCCCTGTTTTTCTTGAAAAAAGAACTTAATCTCTTTTCCTAATTTCAACTGCCCCTTGTGAGATTTTATCTATGATGGTTAGTTTGATTTCTTTTCTGGACAGCTCCCTGCTTTCCTGCTTATCCTTCTCTGAGATTGTAGCTTGCTTATCTCTTTGGGAGAATTACCTTTTCTGTAGAATAGAAGAAAAAAATCTCTGAATATATATGTAAGAGGGATTTTGATCTTCAGATTTTTCGGGGTTTTCAGAACAGCTTGATGACATAAATTTTTCAATCACTTCTTCTATGACAGTTGCCATTGTTGACTTTCCTTTATCCCATAGATGTCACGTGGGATTGTTTCCTGTTTCTGGGCCCCCCTCCTCTTTTTATCACAATGGGCCTGTGAGCCCCAGGTTAGTTTTGTTTGCTTTGATAAGCTTTGGGCTGGGCTCTTCTGGATTTTGGGCTTCCATCTTCCTGTTTCTCGAAGACCAAATTGCTTTGATTTTTTGCAGCCTTATTCTGGGCCTCTTTCGCTGGGCTGGGCGTGTCAATTTTTAGGCTCAAACAGATTCTTTAACAATGAATCTATCTACCGCTCCTCTTTGAGATTGAGTCAATTCCTTGAATTTTCTTTTTCAAAGTCGTTTTGTATATTCAGAAACGTATTTTCTAGTAGGTGGCATGTTTGGATTACAAAGAAAAATTCCAAAACCCTATAACCTGGAAGATAACCCCAACAAGCAAGAGATAAATATTTTTAAAAACTATATTTCTTATATAACCAATCATCAACATGTTAATAATTTAATAAAATAAGTCATGTAATATATAGATTGAAATTTAGATGTGTACTTGGATTTGAATTGAGATTTGATTGAATCTGACTATATGATTTTGAGTGGTTTTTATGAATTTAGGAATCAGGGTTTTCACTTTTTGGTGTTGAAATTCCTGAAATTGAAAGAATAACAAAAATTATCAAAGGATTGAAAAAAGAACCAAAGAAATTGATGAATGATGATGATTACTTACTAGAAAATCAGAGTTTAAGAGAAAGAAGAAGCCATTAAATTTTTTACAGTTTTTTTTTTTTTGGGTGTGGAAGAAAGTACTTTGATACTCAAACAAAAGAGATTGATATATACTATTGTTGGTTAGCATAGTTTGATGTGCAGTGGCTCCACTTACACAAAAATCGGTAGCCCTATGCAGTGGCGTCATTTGCACCACCCCTGGATTAGACGGTGATATCAGCTGGGGCAGGGCAAGGCAAGTAAGGATGGGGAGAGAAGGATGAAAAGGGAGGCCGAGACCTAAACTAAAAAAAAATTAAAGAAATTTAATTGCGATGATAGATTTCAAAAGGAAATCAGCGCACAAACAATAAACTTGAATTGGTAGATATTTTGACACTATGATCATTATGTAGAGTACATAGATAAACCTTAATTAAAGGCAGGCTTATGATTGAGAGTTCATTAGACAACTCAACCAAATGACCTTTTTATTGACATACAAAGATAGTAGTACTCTAAGGACTAAATGTTACTGAATTCTTTGTTTCAGTCTCAGTAGTTCAAGGTCCTGGTTTTTCATAGTGCCCATGGTCTCGACCATATCCTTTCCCTCCTCGACTGTAGGGTTCTTGCTCATGTCCGTGACCACCTTTTCCTCCACGGTTGTATCCACTGCGTCCATTGGTACCTTACCCTCCACGATTGTAGCCACCACGTCCATTGGCTTTATTCATAAAGAAAGAATTGCCAGAAAAAAAAAAAAAAAAAGGTCAGATGTCACTTAACGGAACCTTATTGATCAGTTTGCATTCTGTAAGGAGCAAAACATACAATATCCAAAATTACTAAACATCCACATGTTCCTAATTATATATATAATGTATTCCAGATTCGTCGTTTGGCCTAAAAAAGGATGTTCCAAGTTCATAGCATGTTAATTATTGGCATGGTCCCTTGTGCAGATTGGAATGCGCCTAATTAAATTCACAAACCGTTGAAAAAAAAGAGACAAATATATATGTTTAAGTTAAGAAAGAGAAAAACTCACGATTAATTTGAGTAGTAGTTTCAGCTAGCTCACGAGCTGAGGCCTCGGAGACAATGAGGATGAGAACAACACACACAAGGCCAAGAAGAAGAAAAGTCTTTGAGGATACCATATCAATTGATCACACTATATGTCTAATTACTATAATGTCCTCGTGGTTGGATTAAAATAGATGGTAAATTTGGAATTTTGAAAATTGTGTGAGGATATAATGGGTACAAAAGATGAATTCCTAATGGGTTAGTTCTCTAGGGATTAGAATACTACCTCCCACTCAAGAATTGAATTCCTCCAAAATCAGGAATTTAATTCCTAATTTTGTGTGGGCTTGACTTACTTTTCAATTTCTTGATGTGAAGTAAACACATGAATCCTCTATAGGCGGAATTCAATTTCTAATAAGAATTCCAATTCCTAATTAGTGGACACACCATTAATTTTTGTCAAATAGGATTAATTAGTTCTGGAGAATACTGACTGTTTATCCATACTATTATAAGGTGTTTGGTGTTGTTCCGGATAAATAGTCTCACTAAGTTATAATGTGTTTGGTGTTGTTCCGGATAACATCGGATCAGACTATTTAAAAAAAAAATTCTTTGATAATTTAATTGGAAATTGAAATTCAAATGACACGAATTTTTATTGATAAGATTCATATGACAAGATTTTTTTTTTTTTTTTTTGCCAAGATCTATAAGATAAAATTACATGAACTAATATAACCTGTAATTGAGATTACAGATACGAGAGTAAATCCCTTCTGTAAAAATTTCAAAATTCCAAAATTTGCTTTTGTAATCAATTCTTCAAGAGAAGATACTGAGAAGCAACTAGAGAATTTATATAAGTTGCATAAGTTCGTAAGGCCTTCAATCTGAGTTCTCAATTCCATTGTGTGCAAATAGAGTAAGTTCAAAATATACCACGCTGTTCAGACTTCCCACCACAGAAGACGAACACGAAGAGCGCCTCAAACCCATGTATTGTTCTAATTCTTATGAGTTTTGATTTATAAAAAAAAAAAAAGTCAAAAAGGAAAAACTCATAACCTAATTTTCACAAAAATTTAATAGAAGAGGAAATAAAAAAAAGAAGATGAACACAGAAGAAGAGAGAGATGGAAGCTTGGAGAAGAGTGAAGAGAATTACCTGTGGAGAAGAACCCTAGGGAGAAGAAGATGAAAATATCGTATGATTTTTCACGTGAAGGTGTGTGTTAGTTTTCCCTAACCGTATAATTAAGCGTGTATTATCTAAACCGGAGTGTGTGAGTTGTATTAGTTAGTCAGGTAAGGGGAGTATTAAAAGCCCAACCCGTATAAAATAGTCAGGTAATTAAATAATACAAGTTGACACCAAACACCTGATATAGACTATTTACTCCTATCCAAAGTCTAATACGGTGTACCAAACGACAAAAAAAGACATGTCAGTCAAGCTTGATAGATACAAACCCAGCTGAAGTCGAAAGGGGATTACTTATTTTAAGAAATATAATAATACATAGAAGTAGTCAAGATAAACTGCATGTGGCCTGGAGTGTATTCCTTTTGGATATTTTCTTTGCATCAAATATCCTCGGTGAGAGATACACATATACTACAGAGCATGGCATAGAGTATCATAACTAGTATTTTTGCTCGAATTCTACTATCCTAAAGAATCCTAGCTTTATTAACTGTCTAAAAAGTGTTTTAACCTTTTTTTTTTCTCTCTGGTTAACGTTTTTTTTTAGTTACTTTCAGGATTTATGTAATTGTAATTTACTTTTATGAAAATTTTAACTTAAAAATTATAAAATTTTGGAAAAACAATTTAAATTTGTTTCATAAAGAAGCGTAAAACAATAAAGTACAAGTCGGTAGGGTCGATGGCCACACCCAATCAAGGTGTGGCAGATATGGGTCGCATTCTGGGCTTGGATCATGTTAAATTTCAGAGAGACGGGTATGTGGCCCACCACTAGCAACACCGATATTGTCATCAACTTAACCACCTACAAAACCCAATAGGTATGAGGTTTTATCATAACAGAACTCGGTGTTAGCAAAAGTGGAACCACTTATTATAAATTGCAGTTTATTTAGTTAAGTTTCCAATGTGGGATCGTATATTCTTCAACAAATATGAATGGGTAGTGAAGGACAGAAAGATATCACAAGCATATTTTTAATTTTGTAAATTATCAATTTAAGTACAGAGGTATATATATGCTAGATTTTTGAGAGAGTCGGTTAGGAGATTTTAGGGGCTTTGGGCAACATAGAAAAAATGGGCCCTCCATACATACAATTCAACAAAAATTTAAATTTATTTTGTTGTTTTGTCTAGTGGATAAATATACCAATAATATGTCTCAATATGAAAATAAGGTTAACTATAGGAAATGTCCTTGGACTATACCTCATTTTGCATTTTCGTTCCTAAGAAATTTCAATAATAGTTGATATCGTCCTCCAATTAAGTTGTGTGTTGCACCACTGAAATTCTTCATTAAACATATATATGAGTTGAACTTGAAATCCAGCACAAGGATAATGAAGGACAAGACATTCAAAGTTTCAAAACGAACAACCAAAGGTGAATGCATTCAAAATTCGAAGTACTGTGAAAGAAAGAAGCCACAGTGACGGGGAGGCCACATTGGAAGGTTGACTATTGGGCTGGTCGGAGCCTCAACCCAATATGTATTATTATTACGATTTTTTTTTCATTTTTTTATTCTACTTTATTTATTTTTTAAAATTTATGTGAACATTTTCCTAATTTACTCTTGAATTTAACAGAAAAGACAAAAAAGTTTTTATTATTATTATTTTTTTCCGTTCTACGCGAGATCTTTCAATCAAGGACTTAAACAAGGACTTAAATATCAATAATATTGAGGATATTATCGTTTTTAAAGAGAGGGATATTTTGAATCCATGTACTTATTGTATAAATATTGTTGTTGATTAAACCACAATTTTCAGTTTTGATGTGTGTTAGTCGTTGGCACTGTGGGACTGGATCTGATTGTTGGTGTTAATGGTTGTGGTTGAAGTTGATTTTTGGTTGCATGGTTGTTGGTGAGTTGAGGTTGCTCGGATGGGAGCTTTGTAAGGGTGTGGGGATTAGATTAAGGCCATCTTTGTGATTTTGAAAGCCCTGTGCGAAACTTAGGAGGGTGTATTCAATTAGGATTTTAAAAGACTATTTTGGGATAAATAAGTCTTGTGGTATTCAATTAAGACTTTTAAATAATCTAAACAAGTCTTGTGGTATTCAATAAGGACTATTAGGATTTTTTAAAGAGGGTGTCCAAATCTAGTGGTATTCAATCAAGACTTTAAACAAGTAACAAAAAGTCTTTTGGTATTCAAAAACTTGCTAATTTCGAAGGATTTTTTTTAAAGAAGGAATTTGTGTGACTTTTTAGTGGGAGGTATAAATACCAAACCCTAAAAAAAATCTCACCATAACCCGTCAGACTTTTCACATGAGATTTTTTTCTCTCTACGAGAGAAGATGAACAGTTCTTCGTGAAGATAAACAGCTCTTCGTGAATAAGGTATTGCTTCCTTCTCGTGCTATGTCTTCTTGCGTTTATTGTATGTATCAAATATATGCCGTGCTATATTTTCTTTGTTGGTAAAAAAATTTTGTATTCGTTTTCTATAACCATGCTGGCATATATTGATATAGTAATTCTTTTTCAATTTCTATAACCATGCTGACATCGTTTGCTATAACCATGTGACCTCTGTAATGGGTACTTTGCTTTTTACATGTTTTTGAAAGGCTCTGTTGCTGTTGAGATATCTTCCATATTTTCGTATATGAATATATTCATGCTTCTTGTTGTTGCCTAGCTTTGGGTTTTCTTTCCTTTCTTCCCCCTTTTATTTTTCCAAGCTTTGCTTGTGACGTTTGTTTGGTTGGATTGAGGGTTGAGATGGGGTGTTGTTGATTTGGATGAATCTTTGTTGTAATAATAAAATAGCACTCAAGAATGAAATAAAATAAGCAGTTAGTTGAAATCAATATGCTTATTATTGTTGTACCCGGAAGCAATTTTTTTTTGGTTTCCTTGTTTGGTATGATATGTATTCTTGTGAAATAAATAATAAATTTCTTACATATATTGTAGTAGTAATTTAATGGGGGATTCACAACAAGGAAATAACAAAGGAAAGGGCAAAGAGTGTCGTTCTTATGAATTTCCAATTGAACCAGTGGACGAATCTTCTTCATCTTCAGTATTACCAGTTAATGAAGAAGAGAATTTGGAACCTATTGTTCAAACCCAAGAGCAGCAACGAGAAAATGCTAATGCATGGAGAGCTACCATAGCTTTAGATATGTGGAGAAATGCTACTTAGGAGGACATGAAGCTACATCAAATTGGCTATTAAAAGATTGGGAAAACTTTATTGAATTTTACTTTTCTTTGTTA